TATTCACGCCCTAAGATTTTATGGGGCCACAAACTAATTAATTAGTTGGAAGAAAGTGTAAAAGGGTAGGTGAGTGTACATCTAAGTCGGCCAACTTTAATGGCGTTAAGTGCACTCCATATGTCCAAGATGAAAGTTACAACACTCAAGTTTGTTACCCGACAAGAAACACAAAAAAACAGAATAAGAAAAAAGTTTGGCGAAACTTGTTTGTTGGTGTTTTCGTGGTCGGCCATATTTGATTTTGAAAGCTAGTTCGAAATATCCATGGAATTGTTAGGTCTGATGGCAAACAACAAACCACATTGGAGAAGTACGTACTACCACAGCCGAAACCCTGAAACCTCCTCATTCCGGTTATCGGTATCGGTTTCCATCTTTGGGTGGGCTTTGCCATCTTGCCATCTCACTGCTCTTGTGTTTACGATATTAAATATGAACTGGGGCTTGTCGCGTATGCCGCGGGCGGACAGCGATCCGAAACCGCCTCTCTATCGTCGCTAGGAGTATCGAGACAACGAGACTTGAACATTTGGGAATGTTCGTGCGGTCGTTTTGAACCGACGAATTCAGCCGGCGGCTCTCCGCCGTCGGCACCGCACAACGCTCAACGTCGTAACAAGGAAGCAACACACAATGAAAGCACCAAGTACGAAGAACTCGTCATCAAAGGGATGCGCAATCGGCATGTAAGTGATACTTTGATACTTTTTCAACCCACCCTCAGTCCTTGAACACAAACGTAAACTTCGAAGGGAATTAATTTCAAATTCATACTTAGAAAAGAAAATAATATTTGATATTGTGGTGGTAAGATTTTTGCGGATGGGAATTTCAATTTCGGTGTGAAAACGTACAAAACGCGAGAACCGCAATGCGCCTTTGCGCCACACGTTGGAAATTGTGAAATATTGCAAGGTTAATTAATTTGTGTATTCACCGGTGTGGGTTGGTGATACGGATGCACAGTGGTGGGGAGAGCGCGCGACGCCCAATAGATATTAATTTAATAATTTTAATTTAATTAAAATTTATATTTGTGCAAAATATATTCGTGTGCCGGAGGCGCGAGAGATTGAATTTTGATTCTTCGATTTTTGATCAATTAAAGTGTCAATTAATTTAGCGCAATGTGCTAAATTAAAACTATGAAATTGCCGCACCAGGAATATTCATTGTTTGCGATTCACCAAGTGATTAAACAATGACGGCGTATTATTAAAAAATAACTTATTAATCGTTTCATTATATTATATTAATTTTCATTAGATTATTATTAGTGTGAAATTCATTATTTTGAATTTTATGATTACACAATTTATCATTACTTTATAATGAACTATCGGCATGGCAACCCAACTTCAGTTACTTTTTATATTACTTCATCAAAAGTAAATATCATAAACATCATCTTTTTTAAAGCAATGAAATAAAATAAACTTTACTTTTAACTTATTAGCAACCCTCGCAGTGTGTTTACACTCGTAATCCTTTTCAGGACCGCGGCGTACAGGAGCCGAGCGATAAATCATAACTAATTGAACTAATTCGGATGGTAATCGCCAGCACCACTCGCAGAGCCACTCTGACCCACACGCGCGCAGCGGAAAGTGCGTGCGGTTAGTTCAGGCCTGAAATTCAGGGTTGTGAAAGACGCCACCGACATTAACGCACGAGATGGCGGCGTAACGAAGCCCTAATGAGGATGCCCAGCGTTCCGTTTGATATTGAATCTTATCGACGGGTAACTTCGACCCATCCCCAGACGTGATAATTGGACATCAAAATAAGGTCATTAACGACCAAATTACTTTACATCACTGCATACCGAGTGTTGAGAAAGTTAAATCCAATCAAACTATAAAAAATAAACATGATTCGCGCGCAATAGCAAAGTAGAAGTTTGATTGCAGGTGGAAATTTCGTTGACAGTTAAATTACATTGCGCCAAACGAATGTAAAACTAATCGTAAAACTATTAAATGAAAAGTGTCCGAAAATCGAAGCGTTTGCAGTCGAAATCAGGTGACAACCTACCTCCCGCAACCCAAGTAAGTTTCTAATTGAAACAAGCTATTAATAAACAAATAAGTTGGTCGTCACACTCGTCAGTCACGTCCAGACGAGTTTCGCGCGTCTGGAAATGGAAATGTAATTAACAATTTTAATTGCTTCTCAATTGCGCCTCACCCTACACCGATACCAAACACGAATGCTTTTCCGTGAGTTATTATTTGTATTTTTTTCAGCCATAGACGATGTTCGTTCGGTGGTGATTTACGACAAAATTGTCATTCAAATGAAGCAAGAACGTGATGAATGCTTCGATATCCTACGTTTTTATGTTTTTGCCCTCTCCCTCAAAGCGGAATTGATGACTCTCGTCCTGAAGAAGCACATATTTTACCGATTTTTCTTCGCGTCGAGGTGTTTTGCTAATTCCTGCTTTGTTTCAGTCTTATTTTCGGACAGCAAATAAATGAAAAGTTGATGGGAAAGCAAACCCTCCTAATACAACCATCAATTTTTCGTCAGCACATCGATTACGGCACAAAAAATTATGATTCCGAATATAATAAATTTTCACCGTAGAAATGGCTCCGCTTACGTGGATGGTATTTCGAAACGCTGTACTGTCTGATGTCTGCAGTCAGCTATCTCACGTTCAAGATGAAGATGCCTTTGAAAAGTGACGAGGATAACTCGGAGACGGCGGTTTTCACCCTCTCCGCCTGAGACGAGCGTCGCGACGCTGCCTGACGATAAAGCGCATTTCCCGCATTCCTCGCGGTGCGCCATACATCTAATCTAAAGGTGCCCGTTTAATGTCTTCTTATTATGGCCGCGCCGCTTCCGCCGTTACCTGCGGGCACTTGCATTCTCCAGCCATTACATTTTCGCTCGTTTCTGGCGCATTTCCACCCCGGTATCAAACCCACATTACAAACATGCCGTTGTGCGGTATTTTCCAGCAGTTTTCAAATGTAAAAAAAAACCCTCGCACACCAAATATCAACCGAGATAACCTTATTTATTACGTCAGGATTGTACCGTACGCCATCTTGAATGAAACCATTCAACCACTGACAACGTACGGTGAATGTTTGATAATAGCCATTAAACCTGCTCAAACAAGCTTTTTGTGTGCTCATTGTATACTGTGTGCAATTTTTTTTTGTCTGGGCCAAAGGTGGGTTATACTCGAAGGTGGAAGGGTGTAGGAGGGTTGTAGATGGCACCCAAAAAGCAAATATCATGATTTATACCGAACTTTACTTATTTACGTATTCTCGACGGTGCGCGCTTCCTCATCCCCCCATGGCGCGGCTGCAAAACAGGGCGAAAGAGTCCCTTAATAAATTATTCATACGCACATTACTTACGTCCTACCTATACACCTAACCTACACGCGCGCGAGGAATTTTTTTAGCGTGCTCAAACTGCATACATTATAACGAAAAAATATTGGCCCTCCAGCGACTCCACTGACAAGCGGCGCCCGAAAAGATTAATTATATTTGTTTGTTCTCCCAGACGCTCGCGCGCGCACACGCGTTCTTTTTTTTTCAGTGCGACCGGGACTAAATCAAATTAGGGGCAGGAAATTAATTCGCGCTTTTTATCTGCGTTGTTTGCGGGATATTTTTTGTTGTCGAGGCCGCATGTCGGTTATTTCGGGAACACGTTTGCCATCAGTTGACATCACTCGCCATCAAAGTCGCGCGGCAAATTACCACCGACCCGCCGCCGTCCAGCTCCCATTTCGGGATGGAAGAGAGTTCGTTGTTGTTGTTCACTGCCGAGCTTCATTCATGTCGGCTGTTTTATTTTTCGTATTTTTTTCTGAACCAGAGAACTAGCTTTTTGTGCGTGGCGGTATTCGAGGCACGCTCGCTACGGTCACCTGTTTTATTTCGCTGACCAACTAACAAGCTATACACGTTATACAGAGTGTTGCATGTAACCCAAGAAAAAAAATTCCGTGACAGCATGGGTTTGATTTCTGCGCAACTACCGGCACATTTTGATAGTTATATCGCATAGCAGGTCTTCGGATTCGGGAATGCGAGAGGGGGAGGAAATTGCAGTCTCCGTTGACAAGCCGCGTCAGCGCGCGTGACTCGTGTGTTAAACGTGCGCGCGTCTCGTGCAATATACACACTTGGCACGTGTCGCTGAGAAAAGTCCCAGAGGTTTGGGACTACGCCATCTTGAGCAGGAAGCTGGATGAGGGAGTGAGGATGGTGGGAGACGAAAACGAACCGGACCAATTTAACCGCACGATCCTTACATAAATAAGCATTATCTTCGGCGTACGCACCCTCTCTTGCTCTTTCTCTCGCAGCAATGGCGTGTACTATACACGGTTGCATATAAACGAGAAGCCTAAATATAAATTACGCGCATAACGTACGCATCCGCGCACCAACAAGACGTAGACGTACAAATATACAAAGCTAAACGGTGGGCATAAACCACACAAGATGGGGAACATGATGGCGCGCGCGGATATTCCGCGTGAGTCAGTACATGCGTAAACAGTTGAGGAACGCATACACGATCAGCAGCCTAAATGGCATGATGAATTTTATGTAAATTTCGAAACGATTCAGCTGGTACTGAAAACGCGGTCTATATGAGAGTACATATTGCATCTCCAAATGATGGGTCGTAATTCTGCTGGTTAGAATGAAATCAAGAAAACAAAGATTCTGCTTAGTATGCCAGAGTCCACGTCAAATTAGCAGCTAACAAGACAACATAGGAACGTGGTATCAACACGCTTGGAATAATAAATCGCCCAGCACGATACTTAGCTGATGTACGAAATTTTAGGGTCGTTCCTCAGAGGAGATTTTTTCGACCAAGCTCGTTAGCACAAACTTCATTAACCAACCATCGGAGGGTCAGCCCGCGGTCAGCATTTGTATTGTGTGATATTGTTAATGACCCAACCGGAAGCTGACCCCTATTTAGAGAGTAGGAATATAGCGACTTACCGGTATGTGTTCGTTGATGCGCTTTCAGATGCGACGACTTGGTGTAGATCTTCTTGCAGCCGGGATGTTGGCACTTGTGTATCCGCCGCTTGGAATCGGGTGAATGGTCGAGGCGGGCATGTTTGGCGGCAGCGGCTGTCGCCGGCGACGACGTTGGGGAACCGGTCGGAGGCCGCGGCATCACGGAGATGATGCGCGTAAGCCCGGCGGCGGTGGTAGTCCGTAGTCGGACAATGGCGGCGGCATTGCGCTGCACATTACGGAGCGCACAGCGATCCAGCTCAGAAGCGCTGGAGCTACCGTTGGAGTTATGGCCGGGGCCGGCTGAGTCCGGACTCGAGGGCGGCGTGAGCGTCGTCGTCGACGTCGTCCGCCCCACGAGCCTGCTGGCAAAGGTGCGCAGCTCGTCGGCGCTATCAGACCGCACACCCTCATACCGATCATCATCGTCTTCGTCCTCATCGTCCACCTCCTGCTTCACGATCACGGCGCACGAAAGCGGCGAATCCCAGGAGAAAGCCGACCCCGCCGAACTCGTACTCAGCGAGTCTATGTTCCGATCGTCCAGGCAGTCGAACCAAGTCGCCTGCAGGTCGACCTTCGGCTCGTCCCGGAGGAATTTTTCCAATTCATAACATGTCTGCAACAGAAACGAAGAACCATAGTTAAGTTCGGCGAATGTACAAACACACGCACACAAAGCACTCAAAATTGCTTTTCCACCTCGCATCGAACCAGCCCAAAAAGGAAGCGTGCCTTATCAGTTCGCTGGTGACTAGTACGAAGCAGGCGAGCAGGAAACTTTATAATCTAAGACCGGAAGTACTGCCAACGCAATATTATGTACTGATACCGGCTCTATACCTACTGGCAACCCTCTCGATGCGGAACGCAAAAGAACGTGAAATTTCGTCAAGGGTTGTTTTCAGCACGTTAATAGGAACAGGTTTGTGATAGGTCAAGCCACTTGGCTGCAACCCTCGCTAGCACACTAGCCCAGACATAGATCGATGCCGTCTGCGGTGTTTGCAATACTCATGTGGAAATCCTCATCGGAATAATTCCATAATAATGTGTTCGTAACGTGTGTGCACAGTGTGTGTGAGCGCACTATGCGCGTCTAGTCAAAAGAGGGGGGCTGCCGTTGACTACCAAGGGGGGTGTGGGTGCATGAATCTAAATGCCATGTGAGTCACTCGGCAGCGACGACCGGCGGCGCAATAATAGCGCCTGGACATGCGATGATAACATTGTTTCCCGAAACTCGGCGTCGTCGCCGGCAGTGTGTACACACTTGTCGCCATTTACCTAGGGAGGCAGCCTGACTATCGTATGCAAAGGCACACCTATGGGAGAACAAAGAAGCCAATGTGCATATCGACATGCATCCGCATCCATAGTGTGCATAATGTAGATACAGAATGGCAAATCGCAAAAAAATGAAACGACGCTGGCGGAGGATACTATCAAAAATGTTATGGTGTTGGTGAAATTGGTGTAGTCGTCCCTGCCCTTTTTATTCAGGTAGAGGCAGAGGTGGTATGTTGGTGTGTTTCCGTGCAATCTGAGCTAAACGAGTCTGCTTCGCTTTTCACATTTCCGAAACATTCAATTTGCAAATATGACTCGCCCTTACATCCCACCCACCTCATGCTCGGCACGTACGGAATGTACGCAATACATATTTGCACTCTAACCACCCCCAGCGCTCGCATCGTCTCCGTGCGTGCGCTAACCGCAAAATGATTTTGCATAAAGCGGCGCCATTTTCGCGCAAACGCGATTCTCGTGTTCGGCAGACAAAGTCAAACTGGGAGCGATAAAATTTTGCCTAGAAAGTGATACGCACCATAGCCGATAGATAAAAATGCAGAACATAAAATTGATGAAAGGTAAAAATATTCGTCGAATACATTTACTTCCGCTCACAGCTGTCGTCACTACTTTACTTAAATCGTGACGACATGTCCACAAAGTATTCACGCGTCGCAACCTCTGAAAGTCTCGAAAAAACGAACGGTTTTTACCCGCAAAAGTTCGGCGCAATTTTTTGCCTTTTTCAAGCCGCGAAAAACTAGAAACTTTCCGAGACTATGCAAAATAATGTTAGAAAGCGAGCTGCAAACTTTTGCCAAGCTGTGAGAAGAAAGGCGAAAAGTTGCAGGGCGCAAAAAGTAGAAAAGTAGAAGTGACAAGCGTTGCTTGTTGGCACCGCAGCGCACCGGTTGTGCAGGTGAAGAGCGTAAGCACACCTATGAATATAGTGTCGGAAGGACCATAAGTCTTCCACGCCGCCGCCTCCGCTAAACCGGAAAGGGCCACTTTCGCATTCAAAACGCTGTCAATAATGTCTCTCGCAAAGCTTATGCAAGTTGTTACAGCTTGCCCCCAACATTCAACCAACAAAAAAATGCCTTCAAAACTTTCCGCATGAAAAAGTAAACACATTCTTAAATAAATGTATCTAGTTTAAAGACCGATGTCTTAATTTTACTGCCTTTCTCTGTACGAGAACTTAAACGAATTGTACATTTCTAGGCGAAAATAAATGAACACGCAAAAAGTTCATTTAACTTTGATAATTTATCAAGGCAACTTTAAACTACGACTCGCTTTGTTCTCCCTCGGCTTCGGTTCGGAAAGAAGACCGACCAAACGAAACAAACAAACTTATCAAAAGGAGTCCTTCAGTCAGTCAGTCGCGAGGCGCGAAACATTAGCACATAATTGTTATTAATTAAGCGTTATCTACGAACGCGTCTTCGTCAGCGATTAGATTTTGTGCGTTGGCGGAGAGTGCGCAAAGTGCGCAAAAGTGGAAAAGCAATTTACATGTTCATTTTTTCTCGCCGCGTCGGTGGGTTCGCCTGTCTGTCGAAGCGCAGGACACGAGGGGAAACGAAATTAAAACTTGTCGCTACAATGAACTCACGAGCCGGCTTGGCGCGCCGACGACGAGAAGTTCGACTTGATTAATTGAATTTATTCGCCGAATGCAACGAATGTCCGGAGCGAGCCCTTATCGAAGAACCTAAGAAGCAGCAAAGGCACGAAGAAGATTGGAGTCGCTTGCTCGGATGCGACCGAACAACATGCCAGAGCAGATAAGGTATGATCGAGCGGAAGGAGCAATTTTAATTGTGTTCGTTCTGCTTTTTCGACAAATTCTTGAGCGTTTATTAAAGTTTAAACTTCCATTATGCGCGCCGGTAGCTTGCGACAGGTTGGAAGGGTTGCAATTCGATGTAAACATGTCAATAACCACACGAACTATAAAAGCATCTACCGAAAAAAAATATTATGCATTTTCTGCCAGTTGTAAAACAACTAGTTTAGCATATGTTTGTTTTGAGTAACAATTACATTTAAGAATATTACAATTTATATGTACAAAGACTGTCAGGAACGAAAACAAGCGAGTTTTGTAGAACAGAGAATGTCTATTGTAACTGTTAAACGCAGAGTGGAGCAATTGGAGCATCCGGACAGTAAGGATATTAAACTACGAGTTTAATATTTGATCTCCGCGCCTGAAAACTGTTTGCATTGCATCGCAATATTCGGCGCAGTCTTGAATTTCATTTTCATGAAAACGTGCATACAGTCTTTATGAAATCATAAAATTGGATCCGGTTCGAAGGACCAATCTTCCAAAACTCTTAAAATTTTTCCATTTTGTTCCTTTGTGGTTGCACGGCTGTGGTTTCGGCGCGACCAAGAGGAAAAAATAACGATACGAAAATGTAACATTCCATGCTAGCAGCTTAATGCTCGTGTGCTTGCTTGCTTGGCGGTGTATTGAAAACGAATTTTATTTCACACATAAAAAAACACTACGAGCTAGCTAGCTAGTAAGTCGTGAGACTGCATCAGCAGCCACCGTCGCCGCCAGGATGAACAGAACGTTGTGGCGCGATGATGGTATGGAGGGTGAGAAGAGGAGGAAGCAAAGAAGAAGCGGGACTCCTCGGGGAGTTATTACGCCGCTATAGATTTCGCCTCGTGAGCGCGCGCGAGCGGCGCAAAGGAACTTTAGCACTTTCTTGCTTTCGAGACTGGCGCGCTTTCTGCGAGTGACGCATTCCACTAATGAGATTTCCAACGAGGAGCCGCCGACCGACGCGCCGCGACACCGACGCGGCATGAATGCGGTTCGCCGGCTGAATGTGTGGCTACCAGCTTGGAATTCCATATTTTATTGACACTCGGCGCGCGAGAGGAAATCACAACACTTTCCTCACATCTCTCACATCTCACTGAATAGAACAGAACGGCGAGAGGGAGCGAATAATCAACAAGGACGACAATACAGTAAAGAGATGAACAAAAAAAGGAAATATCGATGCGAGCAGCAACCGAAATGATTGCGCGATTTGTTCGCTGACAAAACGAACGCGAAGCGAAGAAAAAGAATGCAATTATTGTTTGCTCTCACGCCTTCGTCCTCTTGATTTCTATTTTCGCAGGACTCGTTAGGAGTATTTTGCTTTGTTGTCGCCGTGGCGTAAAAACAAGGAAAAAAATCGCAGCCAACGACGAAAAGACCAAATGACTGGGAGTTAATTTAATGCCCCGAACCATTGGCCCAACAAGAAGTCAGTTTTTGCTGAGACTAGCACACTCGGACCGTACTCAACTCTTCTTACGAGCCCACCAAAAATAGTAAAGATGTCACCAGCACACATCCGGCTTACGACCCACATTCGAACACACGTTGATATTTTGTTACATTCATTTCCAGATGTAGGTAAATTTTGCAAGCTCGCCCAGTATGTAGATTCACCATCAACATGACGCGCTCAAATCGTTTCGTCGAATCGAAATTTAAAGCAAATACACATCCCTCTCAGACGCGCACTGTGTGACAACGTCAAACATTATTAACTTTCGTCGGGAGCGCGCGCGCGCACGCCACTCAGCTTCATGGGAAACGCACAAGAAACGTGCGAGTGAATGACAGACGAGACGGCTGTAGGGGTGTATGCATATGTCGCGAGTCGGCTATCAAGACGAGGCGCGCCGCGCGACGAAAGATGTCACATTTGCTGGGAAGATGATGAAAAAATACACAAGCGCTTTAGGCTGCTAGTCAAAACGAGACTTATTAAAGTGAAGAAGCGTTGAAAACTACATTTAAACGTTTTTCACGACGCGTTTAGGCTTTTTATCATTCGTCATTTTCCCTAGGCGCAGGCATGGAGTGCGGGCGGCTCGATGATACGAGAGGGTGAGTTGACGAGCGCCGCAGGAACTTTAATAACATATGCATATTTTATTAAGCCGCGCACGCAAATTGGGTCGCTTTACGTTTTTGGCCTCTCTTGGTCGGGAATTTTGCGTTTTGCGTTTTCATGACTACATCCCTTCAAACCCCACCTTCCTTTACTTCATGGTAACCGCCCGAATTAAGTGGAGTCTTTATTTTCATATTTTCCACGCATTATGAGCAAATTTCTGGAACACAAACTTTTTTCTTAACCGTCTTTAATTTGTTGGATTTCCTTCCAGCGCTCGCACAACTAATCCATGCAGATGCAGATATGTTACGATCGGGCCGCACGAAGGACAGGGGTGCGTCGTATAAAGTGGGAAAGTTTGGAAAACTCCACGGTCGCAGGACTCTCGTCGTTACTAGCGGGAGTTAATACCCACGGCGGTCGTAACTCAGCTCCTTCGGGGCGAGAAAACCACCAGCAGCACCAACACCAACACCTTTACGCCAAAGGCAACTTTCGACGAGTGCAAAAAGGACAGAAAGCAAAAAAACGAAGGTAAAGTGAGAGACGAGAACCCAAGGTGAAACCTTGCCCTCCTAATGCGTTCTTTATATGCACTGGGACTCGACCAGCCGCCTCACAGTCGCAGCAGGCAAACTCCTGCCGCTGCTGCAGAAGAAGAAGAGGGCTAAAGAGCGAGGCGGCTATTATTCTCTTGCCGGCGCACCGTGGCCTCCGCTTCCGGTGGTGTAAAACTTCGTCTGGAGCAATGCATACGAAATACAAAAAGTATGAAAAACTTTCGTTTTTCGGTGCGCGTTACGTTCTTTTTTTGCTTCCTTTCTCCGGGCCGCGGTGGTTTTACATGAGTTAAAACGATTTTTTCGCCCTCGCAGTGGGTTGCCTTTCTTGGATTATGTCCGTGGGCCTCTTGGCATTAGAGAACATGGAAAGCCGGAAATATTTGCTCGTAAAGTTTGATTCAAAATGTTGCATTTAGGAGCGAAAAATGAAAGAAATTCTAAGGTAAAGACCCCGCAACCGGATGACCCAAGCTACGAAGGCTCAGGAGGCACCTTTATTAATGAATAAATCTTATAAACCACAAATCGCGAGCAGAAAATGAGATGAAACAAAAAATATGACCTCAATAGAAAAAAACTCGTTTAAAAGCATTAGTCTAATGAAAATGCAAGAAAACAACTTTTTCTTGTCACGATGTAAAATTTGCAGTCAAAATCTGAGATGATTAATGAAGACAAAGAAAAATAAATAAAAGTCAATTAAGAAATGAGGTGTTCGCACCGTAACTTGACAAATGAAGTCATGCTAAGATGAATCCTGAATGCTTAATCCTTGATGGCCGCCTGCTCGTCAGTCAAGCCGGGTGCGTAGATGACGTGGAACGCACATCTCGTTAAGTGAATTACGCCGCTCGCCCTGCGTCCTGCAAGACGTATTCTCGCCGGAATCGGGAATATTTTAATTAGGTAATGTCCGCCCTGCACAACCCCCGACATCTACTCATCCCATCAGAGCTTCCCGTGCGGCATTACGAACCAATTACATTTATTATCCTCACGAAGAATATAAAACAGGATTAAGCGGCCAGCATCAGCAGGAACAAGGGAGCGATAATATTTTCATTCGACTTCGCAATAGAATAACTTGCATACCAAACTGTTGTAGCCAAATGTTCAACCTTAAATTCTCAACTCCAATAAGAGAAGAAGAAACGAACAAGAATACGAAAATCCTAGTAAAACCTCGCGATTGTATCTGATTTATTTGAATGTGAAGATATTCGGAATCCGAGGCTTTAGTGGGACGCTACGGTGATACCGGCACTATCTCATAACTCCTTATTTTTCGTAGACCTAGGCCATGCTCATTCGCACCGGCTCGGAAGATGCCGGCTTTCGTCGAGGACGAAGGATCATAGACGTATTGACGAGATTGTGGCGTGCGCGGGAGGCGATATTCAATGTGTCTTTCAAGTGGAATCTCGAAACACAGGCGCCGCCATTGTGTGTATTCCTATATCCCTATATCCTTCATTCGAGCATTTCCATTTCTATTCGCAAAGGATCCTATTAGCACAATGCGCGCCGATACACGGAAGCGCATGCAGCGCGCGCATTGTTATATTCTATTATTGGGCATCGCCATGAAACCGATTCTGATGATGATGGGATGGTCCAATATGAATATCATTTTCGTTACGACCACAAAATCTTTTGTCACCAACATAATAGAACTTCCAATCAATTGAAAACATTGGACTATTAATATTGTCAGCGTTTGCAGTGACCAAATTTGTTGCGAGAGAGAATGTCCCATACCTGAAACAAAGAGAACGAAAACATTAGTTTAGAAATCCCAAAAATCACATGATATCAGTTATCTCCCCAGTTATTCAGCAGTTGGTAGCAAATAAGACCCTCGTTGGCTGGCAAATAAGGGTAAATAAAGGAACAAGCAAAACAAGGTCGTGCGTTAGAGTGCAAAATGGGGTAGCAAATTAGAACGATGTAGAATGAAAATGGCTAATGGAAGCAAATAAACCCTTTTTCGCTAGTGCTTTAACTAGATACAACTGTAATTGATCCATCCACAATGCTGGGCATGAGTAAATTCGAAATTAGACGGTTGACGCATGCGCAAACAGTGACGCGGTTTGCCGACGTCCAATCACCCTGATCCTAAGACACTATTTGTATATCATTTATCGGGATGATACCACAAATTTAGGCAATCATGTTACCACGATAGATAATTGATGCCTCTGTGAGTTGATTGTGTTCCAACAAAAGAAAGACGCATGTTTGCTTACAATTTGCGGGCGAAAGACCATACAGGGTAGCGCACAAGCATTACGCTAGTTGGCGGATGAAATTCACTATGTGGTTTTAGTGTTTGTCAAGTCTGGAACGCCAGAGCGGACTGATGGCTGCACCAACGAAGGAGATTCGATTTGGCCGATTCGCTGGATAGTCGCCGATTATAATTTAGGCAAATTCCAAAGCCCGCAGTGGAGCAGCAGGTCGAGTGGCCTCAGCCCTCAGCCTCTTTCCACGTCCGTCTGGTCGATATCCCCACATTCGCTCCAGCGGCACTCAGACCCGGCAGTGAGTGAGTGCGCGGATAGGCAAATTGATATAAGTGCATATCTGGATTTTCGGGCCAAGCGGCGGTTCAACCAATCGGAAACTCAATTAAACTTGCGCTGATACAAGAGCCAGCAAGCCGCGCACACATAGCCAAATGTACATATACACCATTCACCTACCAGCAAGAATTCGTCGAAATTTCAAACAAAAAATTGCTTTAATTAGCCCAATAAAAATACCTGCTAGTGGCAAGCATCGAGAATGAAAGTTGAAAAGACCGAGTCCTATATTGATGACGACTATTCACTATTAAAGTACCAATAAAAATACTTTCTTCGAGCGTAAGAACGCCTGTGATATTCGATATCCCCCGAAAGATATCTGCCGAGAGCCCAAAAAGCAGATGACATGTGAGTTGCCTGCCTTCGCCTTCTCCAGTCCCATTTCTGCCTGTCTGCCGCAGTTCGGCAGGAAGATATGTACGAAATTGCACGAAACTTAAGCACTCGTCCAGCATTTCACAAAGATTCCGGAGCGGATGTAAAAGAAAAACGAGCGACGACCGTTTGTTCAACTTTATGGCGATTGGTTCTTACTGTCCTGGCGTTTTACTGTTCTTACGTTAATAATGTCAATTGAAATCCGATGAATTCCCATCGCCTGCCGCTCGAATTTCTTGCCTCGCGTACAATAAAGTAGGAAATGTGTGGCCGCGACGTTCGGCGACTCTGCGATGGGTCGTGGTATGCCAGCGTGCAACAACTCGGCGCTAGATATTATTCTTCGCCGCATTGTCAATTGTCAGCGATCGCGCGACATTGGCGGTTGATATATTTCCGCTGGAATCGGCGTCTTTTATATACGTCGCGGTGGTGGAATTTATGCTTGTGCGACGTGCGAAACGACTTTCAGATTTTCCTGTCTGCCAGGAGCCATATCTCCCCGCAGCCCGACACATCCTGGCGAACCATCAAACCATCAATATCAGTTGATCCCTTTCCGCTGCATATTAAACAAGCAAAAACAGTACGGTAATCACGTTCAAGTTCAATATACTTGATTGAAGTCAAACGCAACGTGGTTTGACCTGCAACTGTCCTGAAGGCATGAAGCGACCAGGGTCGTACCTCCGTCCCTTAAGTGTAAAAGTTACAAAATGAACTTCTAACCATCTCTTCTTGCCTACGACAGTAGAGAGCAAGTGTGCTGTTCGAAAATCGAAATTCGGGCATTTTGGGTAACAGCTAGGAGGCAAACTAAAGTTCACCCTCTGCGGTCGGCGGAGCGCTGCGGAACAACGCATTAAACAATTTCTCGATGGAGAGTTGACGAGGTGCGTAGCGTAGGTAGGTAGGTGGCTAACGGGCGCGCGGCGGCGGCAGCGGTGGACTTCATTAATTAACACGTCCGACCATCTTTTAACCACCGCTACACCCGCCATCCTCCGCCGCAACCAGCACCACCCAAGACCTTTCAAAGTCTGCCGGCGCAAGGCAAGCGAGGCGCGAAGCAGGAGTATGGGCGTCGAAACGAGGGTGTAATGCGTTCAACCAACCCAAGAAAACCGACTTACGACGTTACTATAGAGTCCTGACATTATCAAATTTACATACAGTGTGTGCACAGAAATGCAACACTGACTGGATAAATTGATTAAACTCGTACAATAGATACATTATTTACCCAGAGCCACATGCGAGTCAACATTTTTTTTAGTACTCCACCATAGTGCCGTATTCTGAGAATACCCCGAGAATATCCAGGATATAAAAGTACCTACAGTGACTGTGTTGGCGTGTCGGCGAGAACAAGACGTTTTCATTTCCAGCCGGTTTGATTAAAACTCTAGTACTCTTCCATGTCGTCCCACTCGTGGTGCAATGTTTTTACGACGGTTTTATGAGCACGCCTCCCCCGGGAGTGGGCCGCAAGACGCATGCAGGTCTCGATGCATCCATGCAGTGCTGGGCGCGTGGTAAACACCATTTCTTCGCAATAAAGCGTTTTATAGATTTATTTACAGCTGCACTACCAACTTCAAGTCCTACATGCAACGAGGCGCGTTGCGGCGGAAATTGATACTCGTTCGCCTCCTCGAACCAACACACTAATCCGACCCGAGATACAAATCCGCCCTCATCAATTATCACCGCCTCACCAAACGATAATTAATCATCGAAGAAGTATAAAAGTTGGATTATTTTTAATGTTCAATACCACGGAAATATCGCTGCGCAGGTGAAACCAATGAAAAACGATTTCGGTCGGTTCGTATTTCCCGGAAGTAAGCATCTAACTAAAACCCATGTGATACTATACCTCGTGAGACCCGTGGGAGTACCGATTCTGCTATTATTGCAATTAATGCTGCAGATTAATAATTTCGGCCCGATGGTGATATAAATGTGGTAGAATGGTGGATGAGGTGGATTTTATTATCCTGTTTATGCCGCGCACGCCCATGCCGGCGGCGATAATCCCGTTTAAGAGGACAACGCAATAAGTTTAACTCCGACTCGTTAGCACGTTGTATAACACCCTCCTTGTTGTGAATACCACGCGGTATGTGGATGCAATAGGGACAGCCAGCTCCCAATTGTCCAGCGGACATTTCTCATCCTTGCTCATCCGCATATTCCCAGTGTATTCGATTCCCCCGATGTTCCTCCAGCTGTGCGTGATACGTAAATGTGTGTTAATCAGATTTCGGCAAGTTTCGCCTTTCTGGAATGGAGCATCCCGACTCTATTGCTCCAACTTCTACACCGGCTGAAATGAATCGCTGTCTTTGCTTGCACAGTCTAAGTATGCCGAATGCAGCGAGCCAACATCGAGCGCTAGTCGAGTGTGTACACTTAGTACATTGTTAGTAAAGGACTGAAAGCGTACCACCTAAGAAATGCTCTATCTGGATATCGCGGAACGATCCCTTAGAAGAAGAAGAAGGGTAGCGTTGGAGTGGGGATGTTGTTTCCTTGCCTCTAATGTAAGAGTCCAATTTGGAAATTTACTTAAGGTCCGCTTAATTCGTTTACGTCCGTTTACAGAAGGACCAATGGAAGGAAGTGACCACTGTGGGTTATGCTAATGGCCTGTCTGGTTACTTCTGACATGCACACCACAAATTCTGGAAAGACGAGTTCTTAATTTTGATTGCATTACGGAGTTTCCCTGAATCGGAAGCGTCGTCAAAATAAATTTCTTCCAGGAACATTGCATGACAATCATAACGAAAACAAAGTCACGAAAAGCCAGCTTGTTTTAGTTGTTTTTTGGCTGTCGTATACAATGAAGGTGGAAGAATGAAGTTTATAACTTTAACGAAAATAAATGATTCTTAAACTTTATAAACTCGACAATGTCATGGCTTGCAGGCGGCATTAGCACCTCAACCACTATTTACCACTATCGCGCGCTTAGTTTTCGACATTGATATAAATTGCTTCGAGGTGGCAAATTACGCGCCCTTGTTGCGTCGCCCATTTCGTCCTTTTCGTCCCGACATTACACACATATTAGTGTACATTAGTTATTGTCCCACTCCCACTGCCACTAGACGAGAGTCAACATCCCTACAATAACGACGCGCCGTAGAATGGGGCAACGTGGATATTATAATAAACGATGAATTAACGCCGTGGCCATAAATTAACATTTACTTCTTCCTTTAAACGTTTCGGCTCTAGCTTCCTTGTTGTTTATTTGCTGCCGCAGCTTGCGATGGTGGTGCATTGCTGTAAAGATTTATCATCATTGTCAACTGTTTGCGCGCGCATGTCCCGACAGTCGGAAAGTTTTATCTTTGATGGAATATTTGGAAGTTTGTGAAATATTGCCAAACAAGAAATATCTTTTCGCAAGTAAACTAAGAAAACTAACAAAAGCTGTTCGTTGCCACACGACGATGTAGAAATAGTAGAAAACTGTACACTTTTGGCCGGTGATCAAAAACGCCCAAGCAAGCGACGACGAGAATAGCGAGGTACGAGGAGTATTTTAAGATTCTAACCCCGTACGGAGTGGGTGACATATGGAAGGGTAGTTAAACCCATCTGTTGGGCCACATTTTAGAAAATTTACAGAGTTTACGAAATTTACAGCGCCCTTCTGCGCCAGCATCTCTCCGTAGAAAGATGGGAACGTTACCAGTTGATAGCCCAACCTGTGTGGAGCACGTGTGTGATCA